TAATTGAAGTAGAATAAATAAGAACTGATTTTGGCGCGTCCCGGGATTCGAACCTAGGATCTCGTGATCAGCAACCGCGTTTACGACCGGTAGACCAATGACGCAGTCGTATTTATATACCGAGTACTCAGCCGTGACGATAATCCAATCTTAAGTAAGCATGTTTAAAAAATAAACATAAAAAATTATTTTGTATCATTGGATTTATCACGATTGATTATAACAACGCAAACGCAACCTTCAAAACTTTCAAAATTAATAAGTTTTGCAGGAGGATATTAAAAAGGCTTTTTATAAATATATGACCTTTTATTTTCATAAATCCACAACAAATCAAAGTGTTATTTGAAAACTAACATGAAATTAATTATGTAATAATTCCTCTAAGGTAATTCTCTAAATATTGTCAAAAAATTGGTCAAGTGCGTGTTGGGAGACGTGTGAACTAGCGTTTCGATACGAATTCGCTATGTGTTTAAATTAATTACTATTCTAATTCAGTTCACATTACACATTTTAAATATTTAAATATCATGTACAATAAAGCACCAGCATATCAGCGTAAAATAGCAGCTCAATACTGCTGTGTTTCGTAATGTGAGTGTAGAGAACCGGAGTTATCGTTATTACTGGAAATGAGACATTCCATCTTAGTCCTCAGAAGTGACAAACCATCTGCAATTTGATTCTTAAACGAGAATAGATGTAGATGGTCTACATCATCCTCTTACCATCAAGTGCACATTTGCCACACTTATTCAATAAAATTAAAGTATACAATTTTAATTATATTCCTGAAATTGATATCTTTGTCTTATAAAACTATAGAAACCTTGTAATGCTGCAATACAGTTAAAAAACTAAGTTATGGAGAATTCACCAAAAAAATAATAATTGAAAAACATACCAAAACCGACTCGTTTTAAATGCAATAATTTAAAATTAAAAATTTTGTACAACCGACTTCAATATAAATAAATTATTAAGAATAACTCAAAAACTATCTTGATTAAATTATATATAGGACAACACGGGAAGCACCAGCTTTCAAATTAAAATAGAATTATCGAAATCGGTTCACCCAGTAAGAAGTTATGAGGTAACACATAAAAAAACATACAGTCGAATTGAGTACCGGCTCCTTTTTGAAGTCGGTAGAAAATGTGGGTCGTATTTAGGATATTATCTTTATATTATTTTTAAACTCGTACATTTAATAGCATATACCTCAAAAAGCAATAGCTTCTGCATCCGATTTCTATCAAACATCGCGCCGTCCGATACTTCCCAATACGAGTATCGATATCGAATATCGATTTACGATCTCGATACAGCTCGTTTCGGTGCAGTTTCCAACGATATGCTCGTTTAAAACGATCCTATTTTGTACAGATGCGCCAGAATCCAGATAACGACATTTTCATTTCCTTTATTGTACATTACATAATATATTTTTGTGGATCATTAATATATATTAGTTTCGGCAATAAATGGTAGCAAGGTTATATTTAAAATTATACGTTATATGTAATTTAAATAATTTAAGAATGTCAAAGAGAAGTTGCAGTCCACAGAATCTCACTGCTGGAAACAAGCCCTCTCTTATACATATAAGGGTTATGCGGCAAGTATTTTGTAGTGCTACTCCATTTGGCGGACTTTACACGTCATCTTAATATTTCATTCCTCAGAGAGACTTGGTAATCGAACCCGGGTGTGTGTATTTTTTTTTAATTTTTAGTAAAAAGTAACTTCTATCCGTTCTGTAGAACTGTAAAGTAACTTCTATCCGATCTTTTGTAGGTATCATCATTATTACAGCCCTTCACAAGTCCACTGCTGAACATAGGCCTCCCCAAGGTATGCCACAAAGTACGGTCTCGAGCCACCTGCATCCATTGACTTCCTGCATGTCTTACAAGATCGTTACTACATCTGATGGGGGGACGAACTACACTTCGCCTGCCGGTACGAGGCTGCCATTTGAGAACCTTTCTTTTTTAAAGGTATATTTGTATATATTTAAACAACACACACTCACGAAATACTATGCACAATCGGTGCCATTATAAATGCGGAAACTGTGTAAAATGGACCACGTTCAACGTTTACAATTTAGGTGTTTACAGTGCGCTTTACCATATTCAACTGTATCACCGCTTACCATTAGATGGGATTGTAGTCAAGGCTTATAATAGTTAATAATAACCATTTTTAAATAACAACAAATATTAGCCATTCGCCACTTTCTAAGATGCTTTGTCTATATACGCTTTTTACCCTAAAGCTAACAATAATTAGTCATCGTTAGCAAAACAGTTTTTTTTTGTGTTACGACTTTCACCGTTACTCGCTTTATGATGCCGTTAAAGGTTACGAGTTAAGTTATGTGGTATACGTACAGGATGGAATATATTATAAAAATTATAAAGAAGTTTGCTTAGACATACTTAGAATATTTTTGTTTGACGGAAGATGCCATGAGAAAGTCCATGAAAAACAAAAGCAACTGCCATTGCCCAGAGACTCAAATGGTCATGGGCTAGGCATCTCTATAGGAGAGAGGATAGAATATGAGCAAAAACATTCTTAATCAGAAATCGCGATAACATAAGAAGACATAAGATCAATTGCAGGCTCGTTCTGGGTCAATAAAGCAGGAAACTGGCTAGAATGGTAAAAAATGAGAAGATGCATATTAGGTTTAATAGTCTACGTTTATATGCTAAGCAGAAGAAAAAAGTCTCAAACTTCGTAACGCCTACAGAAGAGTGAAATAATTTCTCATCATCTGTCTTACCATCCGGTACAATGCGGCTGTTTTCAAGACACGAACAAATAGGTTTTCGTTGAGTTAAGCCTATATTATTCTTTACTGTCTTCAGCTACATCACAAATTACTATCAGACGGGATAGTAGTCGATTACTGTCAACAAAAAGTAAAGGAAATGGACAACAGTATCATACAACTATTAGGCGAGTCATTTCATAAACTGTACGCAACTTAAACTTTCCTTCCTAAATATTTTATAAGTGATTCAGTGCACAGTGTGTCATAGTAAGATTTTAACTGTACTAGTTATGAGCTACTTAAATGACGGAAACGTGTAAATACCTTTTGAATTTATATCACAGAGTGTTCTTATTACTACAGCATATCTCATCAAAGTCTACTGTTGAACTCTTACATAGATAGCCTCATATTAAGGATTTCTTCATACGTGGTAGAGTCATGCTGCAGCTATATTAGTAGTATAGTTGTAGCACAAATGAGTCGGCTCGATCGGGGAAGGACCACGTTCTCACAGAATACCAGCGTAAAATAGCAGCTTAACACTGCTGTGTTTCGCATGGTGGGTGTAGTGAACCGGAGACCCTTTTTACTGGAAAAGATTCATTCCATCTTAGTCCTCACGGGTGACAACGCATCTGCATTTTGATTCGCAAACGAGGATAGATGTAGATGTCTATGGGCCACAGCAACCACTTACCATCAGGTGGACTGTGTGCTCGTTTGTAACTCTATCCTATTAAAAAAAAGTTGCTACGCTTGGCAGTGTGTAAACGGTTGATAAACGCAGTTCTTTTATTATTTTGAGTTCTTATCAGGAAGATACTGCTGCCTGTCTTCCGTTTTAATTTGCTTGTGTCGTCTCCTAAGACGATATGGGGTAATGAATATACTCACACCACCACTACTCGATTTCCGACGCTACTCGGTTTATTCGGACAAAGCGTTCTTAATAAAGCAGTAATACTAATCATTCATTCACTTGTCACAAATCCTTTCAAAAATCAACTGTTGAATATAGGCCTCCCCTATAAATTGCCAAGCTTTGATAGGCAGGTTAGCAACCGCAGTATTTTATGATTTTGTGTCGATATCAGAAAGATAATGCCACCCATCTCCTATTTATTTTCCCCCTGTCAACTTTTACGACACTTACGAAATGATATGGGATAGCACAATTAAATTGCATGTTAATATAATCGGATATTCCACAATTAAAATAATAAATGTTTTAATTTATTTACTTAACTTTTATTATAAACTTTATAATAAGGGATGTAAAAAGCTTACTTAATGCCTTATGGCATTTTCTACCAACTTCTTGCAGGCATTCTTAATGTTATCCTTACAGCCTATTAAAAGTCCACTACCGAACATAGGGTCTTCTCATAGATTGCCTTGTAGGAGGAAATTTTTTTTCGAGGGTTGGCAACCGCAGTCGTTTTCCCAGTGGTTTTATGGAAGGCGTTGCCGCCCATGTTACATATAATATCTTACAACTGCTTCTTTGTAAAATAAATTAAAAATAAACATTTAAAACTAGTGTATGTTGGGGGAAATCTTTTTTACTTTTTGTTTTAATTTTATTTAACTGAGAATCACTTTATATTTCACACCATTTATATAAATTAAGTTATCTTCTTTTTTAAACACAGAAAAAAAAATAAAAATTAAGTTCTTTCTAAGATTTTTTCGAAATAAGGTGTGTAACGTCCCTTATAAGTTTTTTTATTTGGCTTGAAACAATTTCTTATTATTGATTTTTAAGTTATTCCTACGTTAGTAAAAGTTTTTTTTTATTTGAAATTCTATTAAATTTTCTATTTGTCGCAATAAACAAATCAGTTATTATTAATAATTTTCATTAGCGTACTTGTAAAAATTATGTAATTTACAAAATTATTAAGAATTACAAACACATTCAATACAGCGATATTGAGATTCGTACGATGCTAGGGGATTAACTGCTTTGCCGATTCCACTCCAGTTCCATATTTTGTGCATTTTCAAACGAATGTACGATCCGGGCGTATGATTTTAATTGCCTCAGCTTATATTTGTAACTCAAATACAAACTATATAAAATGTTTTAAATATGTACTAGCAATTAAATATTATGTAGGGTACCTGAATTAGTTGTCTGATGACTATGCTCCCTGAAGATTATTAGTAATAATATTATTTTATCTAAATTTAATTAAACACTTACCTTTCAAAAACAGGACGAAGTTTTTCTTGTCCTCTCCGCCTTTCGGGTACTCCCAGTCGATATCCAGACCATCGAAGTTCCTATCACGTAAGAACGGGATAGCCGAGTAAATGAATGTCTGTCGTGCGTATCTTGATACCGTCATATCTTTAAATTTCTGTGTTCCGAAGGACCATCCACCTGTGTAAAAATATTCAGGAATTAAATTATTGTTAAGATAGATAATTCCCTATTAAGCAAACAGTAACCTTCGCTGAGGTTTAGGGGTTTGTAACCTCCCCCGAGATAGGCAGAATTAACAGATTATTGTAAAGGGGCTGCGTTCGCTTTCTGTGTGGCGATCTCTTGACCCATTGTCGACACGAGGAAGACCACGGTGGGTTTTTAATTGGTAGGAGTCTGACATAATCTGCTTCCTTTAAGGTCACTGAGTATCCATAAGGACTTTCCCGAGTAAAGAAGACTTCTAAAATATTAAGGCTTTAAAAAGTACTGAAAAGAATAACTTCCTTTTCATCAAGTTTATTTACGATAAAAATTACTAGAATTATAACGAATTGTACACATTGACCAAAATTAATTTTACGAATTTTTTCGTGTTTTAACTTTCAATTTCCGATGTATCAAGCGCGTTTGATAGGCTGTAATAAATTAACGAATAAACCACATACAATGCTAAATAAAACATTTTTTTTTAATTTAACAACATCATAATTTTGTACACTAGATATATGAAAACGAGTTTTGCGGGAACTTGACCGGCAGCGAATTAGCTGCTTCTGTCTCTTCTGTTTTGTATTGTTTAAATAATGTTATGACGTGAATTTCGATAGGTAAAAGTGGTTTGATTTTGTGTACTTAGTGTCAGCGCATGTGAACTAACTAATAGTGAAAACGAACAAACAAGTGCTTCGATAGTGATGTGGAAAATAAGATCTAACTATCGCCAACTGTTTGTTGGCTCAAGTTGACGTCCAAATCTTCCAAAAACTACGCAATGTAACGCATCAACATATTGTGAATCAGTTTACTATAAAGAATTAGTATCGCTTGATAATGAGATACATGAAGGCATGGCTTAAAGGACCAACATCCGAGCCAAAAATCTTAGTTGAAAAAGATATATGAAAATCGACATATATCGATAGTCACACAGTAAATAAGGTTTCAAATTCAAGGTGCAGGAGTAAATAAAAAATTATATCGATGTCGTTATTACACTTGCTTTCATTGTAACGCCACATACTTTTGCTTTTATGGAAAAGTCTGAAGTTTTTGTCTGAGCTCTGTGAAAATAGGTGAAAATGCCTTCCACTAAGCCTTGCCGTGAAGGTGTATTCGTACACATGTGTAGTGAAGTTCGGTGAATTACCGATATCGATGAAGTATTTATGAAGTATAAAAAATGTTCATACTTAAACTTCAAAAAAATTTTATTTCAATGATTACTATTATTATTATATTATTATATTATATAATATAAATCTTTAAAGGTAACAAATATAAAATTCTGGTGATATAAGAAATATAATTTAATTCAAAAACGTTATTTCTCCGCATCATTATCATGAACATCATCTTAATCATCATCTATTGCAGCCTATCACAAGTCCACTGTTGAACACAGGCCTCCCATAAGGAGCCATACAGCCACATGCACCCTTCGTCAAAGCCACTTGCATTCTTTGTCAAAGTCACATGCTTATATACCGTGATTCTTGCAAATAAAGATTTATGATTTATAATTTACCATTCGACTAGTTGCATTTCTTAATTTATAACTTCATGTTCATTTTTATTCATGTGTATCTATACATTTTTTATGTACTAGGTGGTACCCGGCGTGTTGCTGCCGAAGAAGAATTAATATAGTGGAAATATCGTTTTAAATTTGGAAGAGCAATATCTATTATTTAATTAGAAATTATAATATATTCATTGAAATTGAATGATGTTTTACTTTCAAATAAACTTGTAGGTGCGATATGCGCGTGACCTACAGTAAGTACTCCTATAAAGTATGCCTATAAACTTCGCGCAAGTGCAAGCATTAACTTGACAAAATTTTTGCATAATCTTTAAAAGAAAAATTAATTTTTATATATTAAATTTATTTAATTTACGTAATTCTTATTTTGAAATTATCTTTTTATTTATTTTGTTGTATGGCAAAATAAAGAATACACAAAATTTTATACCGGAAAAGTCTACATGTTTACATCTCATTTTAAAAGCGCTTTGGAGCATCCAGACACGCAGCCTTAAATATTTTTAAGTTTACAGAATTGTAAAATTTTATTATTATTAAATAAAATATTTATTACTTATTTATTTATAATATAATTAACTTTTTTGCCTATTATTACTTTTTTATATTTTGCTCTGCACGCTTAAACTGGAATAAACGCGTTTCTTTCTTTCTATAATACTTTATTACTTATAACTTTTTTAAAGTTCAGCATCAATTTTCAATACTTAAAATTCCGTTACACAAATCTATGGTGGCAGCAAGGATTGAACGCGGGCAGCCAGCGAACGACAAGATTTAAGGCTAAAATCCAGATATTAAGGCTCTCTACATTATAAGTTTATACAATAACTTTCCTTCTAATTATAAGAAATTTATTTCTTCAAAATGGTCTCTCAATTTTGTATTAGCGTTAACATTTTAAAAATTAAACGTTATTGGTTACTCGAGATATAAGAGAATTACTTCCTTTATAATGTCGACCGTTTTCTAGGAAGTACGATGAATCACATTAGAAAGTTGGGAGATATTTTACATAACCAGGTCGTAAGCATTATGAGCAATTATTATCATATCTGAGACTCATTGTCGTTTAGTTGAATTAATTCACGTTCAGTATTAATTAGTCTGGAGCAGAATTATGTTTATCCGACCACACACTGTGTTATATTTATCGTTGTTTTCTATAGAAGATACATTGAAATTGTACCTTCCTCTTAAGTTTTACTCCTAGTAATTTCTTTTTTTTTATAGTTTTTTGTGGTGTACACTAAATTATAAATAATAATAATACATTGAATAAAACTACTTTTACAGATTCTATCGCGTTTATTTAACTTTTATTAAATTGCCGACGTTTCGGGTGCTTAACAGCACGCAATACAAACCCATGGTAAAAAAACTTTAAGGTTTTTTTTTATTAAAAAACGAGAAATTTATGCAACAATAGATCTTTGATTACCTTAAATCTAAATAAAACCTCATTGATAGATTCTTATCAGGTGAAACCTTATTTAAGTTAAGTGAAGTTTAAGAGAATTACATATTGATGCATCGCTTTTCCTTAAAATCACACTTAAAATATAAAAACAAATATTTTTGGATAATTTTGTTTACTATATAGATCCTAAATTTATTAATTTGTTTTTCTTTTTTTGCTTTTTTAGTTTTTGCTCACCAATCAACATATTCTTTTACGCTATTACAAAATCTGAAAATTATAGCTGTAGATACATTATTTTAAAAATTTGTTACGAAAATTATTTCAATCATTCCATTCATATCGTTTTTTCTTTGTCTTTAATTTTTTAAAATTCTGTATTTGTAATATATATATATATATAAAAATTCTAATAAAAATTCTTTTGTCTTATACTTTTTTTAATCTAAGACCGTTTTAAAATGAAGTCTAACAATTATTTGTAGACCTACAAATACTTGTTCCGTGCGGTAAACGAAACCGCGACCTTCAGCGCTGAAACTCAATGGAGCCGTCAAATATTATCTAACAGGCTTATTTTCAAGTTATCATAATGTTTGTAAAAATACTCACGCTGTCGATAATATTGCGTATATCTGAACATCATTATTTCACAATTTGTGCTAGAGCTAGAATCTTGCGGTGCGCAAAGCGCAAGCTACGCCTATATCTATTAACGGCTTAAGCAATGTCGAGGAAATGGTTGTAAAAAGGCACTCGTTGCTATAATTGTTTCCTTTCCCCACTGGAATTCTAATTAAAGATTTTCTTTTACTGTTACTGTAACCATTCCATTTGGGTTTCAGTTGTATTTTTTTTTCAATTTTAGTCTGTGTTTACGTTTCCGAGTTGCTGTACAGTAAACAAATGAGATAAAAAAAAATAAGACGAAAGATGAAATTAAACATCGATTTTTTTTATAGAATTGACCTCAACCTGATGGTAAGTCGATGCTGTAGCCCATTTTTTATAGAATAAGAAATTCAAACGAGCACAGCGTCAACTTCCTTCTTCAATTAAGAATCAAATAGCAGATGCTTTGTCACTGAGGTCTATGATGGAATGCCTTGTTTTCAGATAAAATAGTCTCTGCTGCTAATGCAGCAGTAGATTGAGTATCATCAGCTCTCACAATCGCCTTTAATTCGTTCTTGTAGATCAAAGATTTTGATTTCGAATTTTCCAAAATTTAATTTAAGTTTTATCGGGAAAAGCAAAAACAGGTATGCGTTCGTTTGCCGCTTACGCCGCATTGCTGCCACGACGGTACTCATAAGTATTCCATAATTACTCGAATGCTTTACGTATCCATGATGACAAAAAAGATTCAAATACGATAAAAACATAATGCTAATCAATAAACAAATGACTAATTATGAAAAAATAACATGCTTTTAAAATAAAATTAATTTGAAATTAGAATTCGTAATCAAATAAAAATCATTTTGATTTGAAATGGCCAGTACTGTAGACCGGTAATTAGAATACCTTTTATATTAAATAGAATAAAAATAGAACTAACAGAAATTCTTAATTTATTTTTATTCCCAACACAAATCAATTGGAAACAAAACTTTAATTTCGAATATTTTCTAACCAAGAAAAGTAAATATTAGCCTACTTACGCCCTACTGCGGTGCGACACAATGAACTTTCTGAAGTATAGACCGCCACGTTGCTGAGCTGTGGACCGGCGGGACAATGAAAAGTAGGTTGAGACCAATTAGTGCTTAATAAATAATGAGAGTGAAATTAACGTCTGGCTGCATTGGAGAATCACTAATTTAGTATTGCAATATGTTTTTATTTATTTAAGTTGGTGTGTCATATATACATTCACCATAACATGATCGATGTCAACATCAAATATTTATATTTAAAATTGGCTTTATAAAAGTACTTTTTGAAAATCCATTACGCCATCGCTTTAACAAGTAACAAGTAACCTATCTT